TGTGTGTGTGTGTGTGTGTGTGTGTGTGTGTGTGTGTGATGTTTATGTGTATTATATACCCCAGTTGTCAACTCCATACCAGATTGCATGTACACAAACCATAAAGCGGGGAGAGTATGGCACTTTGGTGGAAATTGATACTCATAAAGGATTAGGATCACACTCAAATATATCATCAAACGTCAAGCGCTATTCCGAAGAATGATCATCCACAACCAGGTAGCAATGACAATCATAAACCAATTGAAGAAACAGATAAGTAGCAGATAGAGTCTTATTCACTACTTCGAAAAAGGCAATTATTACGCCAATGGGTGAGACTTAATTGCTTCACATGGACCAATTTGGACCAAAAAAACGCACGTCGACCCAAAAAATCCTTCGAAAACTCCATTAGCCAGAAACAACTTTTTGACCCAGAAAAAACGACAAGACCTCATTTATTCACATGAGCGCATAAAACGAGTTCTCCAGATTATGCATGTAAACCGACAAAAATCTTCTTACAAGAACGCTAATACACCCCCCTCCAGTCCTTCCTCTAATCACCGCAAACAGCTTGTATCTCATATAACCCCCACACCTCTCCTGTAATCACTTGCTATTTGGTAGCTCTATACACAGCAACGAACCATCCACCCACATTCTTCAACAATCGCGAGGCGATCTCCACTCAGTACCCAACCTCAACTATCACCCACCCCCCTCTCTTCCCGAGCAACCCCTCGCACATCTCCTAACCCCTCTTCATACAACTCTCGCTCGTCCATCGATGATGTGACTATCATACGAGGCGTCTGGAACCCTCGAACTTCTCATCGCCGCCTAGCTTTTGACTACGAGTAGACTTCATTCATTAACACGAGCGCATAACACGAGTTCTCAAGCCTTTGCACGTCATCCGACGGAAATATTCTCATATGAAAACAAATATTCCCCCCTCCAGTCTTTCCGCCACTTACTGTAAACAGCATGTATCACATACATCCCCCATACGTCTCTGAGACACACACTAATCGGTATGTTTATCCACAACAACCACCGTCTTCCCATACACGTCATCCACCTAGAAGCGACCTCCAACCTCAATCATATTACAGTCCTCCCTCCTCCCTGATCAACCCCGTGCACCTATCCTTCCCACTCTTCATACAACCTGTGCTCGTCCATCGATGATATGACGATCATACGAAGCATCCGGATCCCTCAGACTTCTCCTCGCCGCCTCTTGCGCGAAAAAAGTTCCTATGCCATCCCACATACACCGATGTCACAATGCAACATTCACCACGGGCACCAACATACCGCACAGCCAGCAATTCGTGAGACATACATCATTCGCTAAGTAGCTACTAACGAATTGCAAGGGTGTGTGTGTGTGTGAGAACTCGAAACCACCTCCATGGGACTTCACACCGTATTACCACACGCTGGGCAAGGTGGTGAAGAGAGGGGAGCGGGATAAAGCAGTTGGGGATTAGTGGCAAAGTCCCTAAAGCTAGCTTTTCGCTGTATGTCACTTAAGACAGCTCATCGGAGGGAGATGTTCAAAAGAAGCACACTCATCCATGATCGCCTGCGTGGACAGTCCCACACACACCAAATTTATCAAAAACAAACACCAATAAGTGAGTCATAACGAAAGCGAAGGGAGAAACGTTCCGAATCTCATCGTAAATCAAACTCACCGCGCGGTCATCTGCCTCCTGCAAAAGTTCCTCATCGCGGAGCATCTCGTCCACTGAAAGGAGGTACTTCCCCATGGCCGACATATCTCCGAGCAGCACGGTTTGCCGGTAACGAAGAGCACTACACACGTTTTTCACTCGGTCGTCAAGAATACACTCATCGTTCACGTAACCCTACGCACGCCAAGGGAAATGACAATTCCCTCCGGATCCGCCGAGAGAAAGTTACATGATAAGATCGCGAGGAATCAGGGCGGTAGGCTACAGCGGACATCGGGTTTTTCTCGGCCTCCGTTGTAGGCCACCACACTGATATAAAAGGTTGAGCCCGACGACCTCTCTGGTTAAAGAGGTAAGATTGTCGCTTCGTTCGGGTTGTACCATACCTATTACCCAGTTACTGAAATCAACTGGTCCTGGGCCCCTTCCTGTTCCCGACCTCCGTTCTCAATAGTCCGTTTTTCTCCGGAGGGCCGCTTGACCAGAACCTTCCTCCTTTTGAGACTAAATGATGGGGTATCCCTGCTTCTCTACAAAATACAAGGGGGGTTGGTCCCGAGGCCTCAATAGACAAGTTCGTCCCCAATTAACAAAAAAAGGGGGGGTATTGATATTCAGCAGGCAGTCGAATTGCGTGTGTGTGTGTGTGTGTGTGTGTGTGTGTGTGTGAGAGAGAGAGAGAGAGAGAGAGAGAGAGAGAGAGAGAGAGAGAGAGAGAGAGAAAGAACAGCTAAGAGAGTGTGTGTGTGTGTGT